TTTAGGCTCTTAGATAATTTTTTTCCTTCGAGGAAGGAGTAGCAGGACGAGAAGAAGAAATTGTAACCACAGAGGATAAACCCAGCTTTTATTTTTCCCCCCTCTTCAACTAAAGGGCAGCTCCTTTCTCTCCCCAAAAGCAGTTTAATGGCAACAGCTTGAGAGGGACAAAGTTTGAATATCCTTGTGCCGGAGAAAAGAGCAGAGCGAAAGCCCTGCTAATTACAAAAGTTGCTTTATGAAAGATAATTCAAAGCAATAATTTAGCAAACATAATCAAGTAGCGCAGATGGGGATTTTGATGAATAGTTTGCAACATGCAATTAGCAGCTCTTGCAGTTACATATCATTAACCCTCAGAGCACAAAAATTATTTTCTCATTATTAGATGAAAAGGTAAAATTAAGCTGACTAGACAGTAAAGGAACAAACTACAATTAATTACCTTCATTTATTACAGTCATTATTTTAAACTTATTTTTTTTTACTCTGATAGATAGATGAAAACATCTAAATTAAAAGTTTTGTTCTGCTAAGTGGGAGGTGAAACTTTACAATCTTTGGGGTGCGGGGCCAGCCTGGCTGCATCCCAAATCTGGGGATCAGTGGGAACCCCCCCATCACCCCCATCATCCATGCCAAGGATGCAGAGCCTGAGCATCCCTGCCTGTATCCCACACCAACCTGGACCCCTGCTGTCAGCCACAGGGGGAATTTTGGCTGTTTTTGCAGGAAAATATTCTTTCGCAAGCGTAACTTTCCAGGAAAATATTTTTCACGGAAAATAATTATGGGGGGATTGCAAGAAATCCTTGCTGGGAATTAACCTGCCCGGGTGGAACATTCTCCTGGTGGTGGTCAGAAATCAGCCTGTTCCTCGTTGGGTTGGATGCTGAAAACTTTGATTTTGAGATTTGTGCTGGTGGCAGATGGTTCTGAGCTGCCAACTGTCAGCAAATGCACTAAAATAATAAATTCAGGGAAAAAGAATGAGGGATAAAAAAAAAAAAAAAGAAAAGAAGGAAAGAACCAGCTCGAACAGTCAGTGAAAAAACATGGATTAAGTTATGGTGGGGAGGGTGGATAAGCTTGAAATATTTTCCCTGTTGCTGCTGTGGTGCACAGGAAGGAAAGAGCTCGGGCTCCTTCTCCCTGAGGCAGCAGGGTCAGGATGATGTGGGAAAAAAAGAGGGGAAAAATAACCTAATGAACTGAGTGTTCTCTGAATCTGCTCTCAAGAACTTTGCCAAAACATCACTGAACTTGTCAGGCAATATTACAACAAAATTAAGAACCAGCAGCAATTTTCTCCCATTCGGGATCCCGCGCTTTAGAAAGTAAATTATTAATGCATTTTTTTCCCTCCGTTAAGCAGTTATTTGCAGCAGTCTTGGTGTATTTCTCATTAGAAATAACATCATCTAAAGAACTTATATTGATTCTTCTTTTTCCCCCCCCTTTTTTTTTTTAATCTCCGAATCATGGACGTGAACAACATATTTCTGTGATGTTCCCTTTAACTAGAATTCTCAGGCTTTATTTTTATATTATTGATCTTTTTGACATGAATTGCTTTTTGGCCTTGTGGAAATCTTGGGAGCTGCTCCTGCCTTTGGAGGAGTGGGGGGGCTGTGGGTGTGATGGGTTTGGGGGGGTGTGATGGGTGTGTGAGTGTTTGATGGGTCTGTGGATGTGTGTGAGGGGTTTGTGTGTGTCTCTGATGGATCTGTGGGGGCACAATGGCTCTGTGCACACTTGTGGAGGATTTAGGGGGTTGTTTGGACACAGAGGCACCAAAGGACCCCAACACGTGCCTGGTTCCTCGTGGTGGTCCAGCCCCATCACCCAGAGCTCCCCCAGGACAGTGGCTCCTTCCCAATCTCCCCCTCCTTGCCACCCTCTCTCCCTCCCCAACTTCTTTACACATCAGCAAAAAAAACACCCAAGGAAAACAGCAAAGCCTTGAATTAATTTCTTTTTCATCACTTTTCCTTCAACATTTGGGGTCTCTGTTGCCGCTTTCTCCCCCGACAGCTGTTCCTGCACGCTGAAAAAGAGCTCATTTGTGGTTTACTGCCACCAGTATTTAGATGGAAATAACCCACTACTTATCCTGCACTTGATCTGGTGGATGCAAGAATAAACTCTCCGCCGGTGCGACGCAAATCCCGCGCCTCTGGAGCGGGGACGCTCCGAGCGCCGGGAGGAGCGCCGGGGGAGTTTTACCATTTTGTCAGTCAATTATAATAATATTTCTGCTTCCAAATGTTTAAAAAGTTGGCTTCGGAAGGTATAATCATGGCACAGAGGCCAGCCTGACAATAGTAATTAATTAGGCTATTACGCATTCTGCAGTGATAATTGCTTTGCTGGAAAGTCACCAGCCATGAAAAGGACCCGGCGCGGAAATGTAATTTATCAGACGGCGGCGATCCCGTGCCGCGCCTCACCTTGAGCCCACGGAGGCTCTGGAGGGGGAAAAATGGGAATTAAGAATACCTGGGTGTTTAATTCACAGGCAGAGCTCACTCAGAGCAGGCACCGAGGGCTCTGCAGGTTGTGTCACTGATGGGTGTCGTGGTGATGGGGAGAACGGGAGTGATGCCATCCTGATCCCACTGAACCTGCTTCCAGGGGCACTCAGCTCCCCCACTTTTAGCCATTTCCTCCTCTTTTCAGCATGTTTTCAGATGTTGCCTTCTTGGATGTGGATGCAGGGTTTGGTTCTGCCTCAAGAAAGTGAGAATGTAGGTGTTTTGTTATAAGACCTTGATTTTAGGGCTGATGTGGGCTTTTCCCAGGTGTTTGTTCAGCTCTGTGTGAGGAATTGCAGCAGTTTCAGTGCTGGGTGAGCCATCCCTGTGCGGGACTCAGAGCTGCTCCAGCAGAAATCTCCCCTGGCATTTGAGTAAATTATCCCCATCTGGAAAAGATCACTGAAAATGTTAAATATCCTTTTTTCTACTGACATTTCCTACAAGTTTAGTGGGACTCTGGAAGAGCTCAGTGGGTGGCTGGCTCACCATGTGCCAGTTGCCCACGCTGGTGGTGCCCTGGCACTGATGTGGGCTGGAATGTGCTGGAGCCCAGCACAGGGGATGCTGCAGGCTCCTTCCCACCCCTCAATGCAGGGCTCAGACCCCCACAGGGATTGCTGAGGAGAGGGAAAGGTTCTCCTTGGAAAATGCTTTGTCTCTAAGATGTGACTTGAGGAAGGAAAGGCCGTGCAGACAGCTTGGTTTGAGCCAGCTCTTTGCCCCTGGCATGGATTAGGGGTGCACAGGGACAGGCACGGGTGGTGGAGGGGGACTGGAGAACATTTGGGCTGGACTTTTGCTCTGCAACCTTTGGTTGATGCCAGCTCAGGGGAGATGGGGCAGGTCCAGGCATCCCCATGGCCCCGTGCCTGCTCCTGCTCCCCTCCTGTGCATTCCAAAGGGTTTGGGAATGGGGAGGTCACACAGGGCTGATGCTACGAGCAGCCCAGCCCTGCAAATCCCCACCAGGGCTCACCCCACTGGCAGATTGAGCAGGCAAATCTCTGTCCTGCTCCAGCACACGGGCAGTGCCAGCTCCTGGCTGCCTCCTCCCTCCTTTCCCCTCTTCACTGTTATTATTTTAAAGCACCCTGAAGCCAAGCATTTTTGCAGAACGCTGAAGAAAAGCCCCCAAATTCCTCCTCTGCTGGAACCGCGGTGCTGAGAAAGTAGGTTTGTGTACGAGCTGCTATAAAAAGCCCGGCTTATACAATTTTAACAATAGAAAAATGATCTTTGTGCTCCAGTGCCTGCGAGCTCCGGAGGAGAAGGCGGCTTGCTCAGGTGGCTGCTGGATTACAAATGAGCCGTTTGCTTTGGGTTGGAATGACAAGAGATGGCAATCCGGGCTGGCAGGGAGAGCCAGGAGCTCTGCTGGCACACAGGAGGGGAAGGTGCTCTGGTGTGGGAGCTGCCACCAGACCGAGGCCCAAAGTTCAGCCCATCGGTGGCTTAAGAGCCATTTAATTGATTATTTCCCTGTCATAACAGTGTGTCTGCTGGGTGGGCACCTCTTCCTCCGCCACTGGCTGCTGTGAGTGCACAATTTGGCTCCAGCTGGACATTTTCCAGCTGGGAATGGGTCACTTCCATCCCTGATGCCTGTGCCCTCGTGTCCCTCTGCTGCCCCATCCCATCTGCTCCAGGTGGGGCTGGATGTGAGGGGTAACCAAGGGGACCTGGTGGGCAGCAGCCCCTGCCCCGGGGTGTCATTGTGCCTTGAAAAATTAAAGGGAGTAAATGATTCATGCTGATAAATGTTGGATGGGAACACGCAGCAGATTAATGTTGTTGGGTTAGTGGGGTGTGGCTGGTGCGAGTGTCACCAGCACCCCAGTACCCCAGCACCCAGGGGCACAGGGACAGGAGGACGTGTCCCAGTCCTGCTGTGAGCATCACCTCCACCCCCAGCACCACCCTGGGAGGGGAAGGACCCGGCCCTGCAGGCACAACAACGGGCGGGCTTCTTTATTTCTTATTTAAGCGCCGACATTAAATTATAATTTTCATTTACTCAGAGCACATCAATGATTTAGGGAGACGTGACATGGCAGCGGCACGAGGAGTTTAGCCACGGGCAGCGAGCTCTGCGCGGGGCACGGGGCGGGCACGGAGCCGTGTTGGCAAAGGTTCCCTCTTCCGAGCCCATCCCTGACCCTTTATCCCTCTCCCCGCAGGTGATTGCACTTAGTAAGAGAAGCAAGGAGGCTGAGACGGCTTTCCTGAGTGTTTACAAGCAATTGCTCGGAGCTCCAGGTAAGCAGCGCGGTGGCGACCTGGCTGCCTAACGAGTCGCGTGCCGGTGCCCAGAGGAGCCAGCGAGGAGCGTGGCACCATCCCCGGCACGGCTGGCACCGTCCCTGCCACATCTGGCACCGTCCCTGGCACGGCTGGCACCGTCCCTGGCACGGCTGGCGTCGCCGACCGCGGCCGGCGCATGGTGCTCTGGAGATCCCAGCCGAAGAGAGGAGAGGAAGCAGCTTTTGCCGTCGCTGTGTTTCAGCCCCTGAGCCAAATGCATCTTGACGTTAGGAAAGGAATACATTTGCTCAGCCCGTGTAGTAACACTGCGGCTATTCCCACTTGTCTGTTTGACGGTAAGTTGACCGAAACGAGCGAGCCACGGGGACATCCTTCCTCTGTCACCCTGTGGCCGGGGCGCCACGCCGTCCTGGGAGGGGGAAACTGAGGCACGGGGCAGCCCTGAGGTTGGTGTTGGCAGAGCTGGTCCTAGCTGGAGGGGTTTGTGTGCGCCAGGCACGTCGGGCACTGCGAGCTGCAAACGGCTGAAAATGCGTGGAAAGGCTCCTGCAGGGCCACTAATTCATTTTCCAGACATTTAGGAATAACAAAATGTTTTAATGATTTCTTAGGGGAATTAGGGAGACATATTTTTGTCCTCATTAAATTTTCTCCTGTGCTACGAGAACCAAATGTCAGCTGGGTTTCCAGAACCCAGTTATCTTCCCTCCCCACCTCACCCGCCTGCACACGCCTGCACATGGATGCACACACATGCACGCCCCAAAACTGCTTCCCTGTGCTCTCTGCACTCCTCCTCCTCCTCTCTCTGCTTTGCACAGCATCCTCTCTTGCTCCCCTCCTGCTCCCCAAATCCCCCCTCCCACGGTTCATCCCCGTCTGTTCCATGTCCACATGTCTCTCGACAGGCAAACTCTTTGTGGAATACTTTCCAAGAGCCACATAAGTCCTGATTCGACATTTTTTGCTTTGAATGGCTGCTGTCAACACAAATCTCTGGCAGAGACTGTAACGGAGCCTGATTGCTCAGCAAGTATTTTGATAAGTGAGCTGGCTGTGTGTCTGTAATTACGGGAGAAAACCGTAAATCTTTTGGATATTGTTCACACAGATGTGGCGTGAAGGGAAGGGGGGGAAGCAGTAAAATGTGTTAAAAGCATAATTAATGTCATTGTTGTTGGGGATGATTTGATTTAAGGCTGACTTTGACTCGTGGAGGGATTGGTAGGGTGCTGGTGGATGTGTTTGAGCAGGTTGGCATGGGGTGGCAGAGGAGAGGCCGTGGTGGTGGAGAGGTGACAACACTGTGGAGGTACTGTGGGTGTCCCATGGGTGACCTGTGCTCCTCCTGGGGCCAGGCAGCAGCAGCATGGAACGTGGGCTGGGTGGAATGGCCCTGGCTCCGGGATTAGCTGGTGATCCCCAGGGATACAGGTGCTCCCTGCAGCTGTGTCTGCCCAGGAGAAGGTGAGGAGCACCCAGAACTGCCCCTGTCCCTGTCAGAGCATCCAAAGGGGGCCGTGGAGATGGTGAAGGGTCTGGAGGAGCTTCTCCATGTGAGGAGCAGCTGGGGACACTTGGTTTGTTCAGCCTGGAGAAGAGGAGACTGAGGAGAGCCCTCATCCCAAACCACATCATCCTCAGGAGGGGCAGTGCAGGGGCAGCTCCGATCTCTGCTCTCTGTGAGCAGGGACAGCACCCAGGGAACGGCTGGAGCTGTGTCAGGGAGGTTTAGGTTGGGTATCAGGGAAAAGTTCTCCCCCAGAGGGTGCTGGGCAGGCTCAGGGGAATGATTCCCAGGGAATGGGCACAGCCCCGAGGCTGCCAGAGCTCCGGGAGCACCTGGACAACACTCAGGAATGCACAGGGTGGGATTGTTGGGGTGTCTGTGCAGGGCCGGGTGTTGGACTCCTGGATCCTTGTGGTCCCTTCCAGCTCAGGATACTTTGTGGTTCTGTGATCCTGCTGCAGCACTGCCGGTGCCACTAAAGGGTGGCCAATGACGCCAGCTAGTGGTGGCATTTATATTGTAATTTATTTATTTAATTAATATATATAAACTGCATGTGTAGTGGGTGAGGGTGTGGAGTGAGAGATCAGGGCAGGGACACACGGTTTCCCAGGCTGTGCCACTGGTGGGTGACCCTGCACCCTGGCCCCAGAGTGGTGCCCTCAGGTCCTGTTTAGGCACACGTGTCACCTGTCACCCTTCTGTGCTGCTGGCCAGTGTCAGGTCTGACCTGTCCCAGTGGAAGATGTGATCCCTGGGGCGAGGACCACACCCCAGTATCTCACATGTGGTGGCAGAGCCAGCCCCACAACCCAGGGTGGTGTTTCCCAGTGGGTGGGCAGCGTGGCCTTAGCTCTGTGTAGTTATTCCAGCCAGGAATTTGGTGTCTGCGCTGCCCTGGCTGTTGCAAGGGTTTGTTCTTCCCTTCCCAAAGCTCTGCTCCCACCGTTTCATCCCAGGCTGGCAGCTCCAAACAGGGAACAGCACACGGAGGCATCACCCCAGCTGCATTTCACCAGCAGGGCTGCAGCTCATGGGAAGGAAAATGCTGACCTGAGGAAAATCCCTGGTGCTTTATCACTCAGATCCATTTTTCCCATATTATTTCTCATCTTGGAGGCAGGAGGAGTTGCTGGTGTGGATCAAACAGGGCCTGTCCCAGCGTTTATCTCCATGGAGGCAGCTCACAGGCTGGCAGGAGCCTCCCGCCAACCCCCCCAGGGCTGGGGAGTGCAGGGGGACCCCGGCAGCCCCCGGAGAGCAGGGTTTAATTATCCATGTCCTTATCTCCACTCACATTGTTGTGGGAGTTATTAATGGCTGTGGGAGCACCCAGGCTGGCCGGGGCTGTGCTGCATCACTGTCCTCCTGCACCCTGGGGTGGGGAACCTGCCTGGGGGATGCTGAGCTGAGGCACACCAGGAGCTGAAGGATGCCGTGAGCATCCCCAGGAGGGTCCCAGCTGGAGCCAGGTCCCTGTTCCAGTGACAGAGCTGACAGCACTCAGCATCTGCCTGTGGATCCTCATGGCCAGAATCCTGGCACAAACTTTTATTCCATCCATTGGTGGGGCCTTGTGATGTCCAGCAGAAAGAAGGGACAACGTTCCCTGTGGAGGATGCTCCAGGGGTTTTTGGTCTTGCAGTCACTAATCCTGAGGGGAAGCTGTGGGGTGTGATGGTGTGGGGTGGCAGGGCAGCAGTGAGGCAGGCAGACCCCCAAATCCCATTTGGAGGAGCACATGTCTGGGCATTTCTTGTTTGCAAGGAGCATCCACATGGGCATGGACCAAATCTTGCATATTCGGGGCAGGCTCACCCCAAAGTTGTCTGGTGCTGTGTTTGACCCCCAGATCCCATGACACGGCCTCCTTCATCCTGCTTCCATCTCAGCCAGGGGCTTGCCAAGCAGCAGAGCTGCTCTGTGTCCCGTTCTGACTGGAGGCAGCCAGTTGTTGGAATTTTTTTTCCCTCACTGTTATTATCTTTTACCCTTGGATGCCTGCCACGTGTCCGTGCCATACAGTAGCATGCCCAACTCCATCCCACTTCCCTGTTTGCCTAACTTTTTGACCCTGGAGAATTCAAATCTATTTTCTTTCCTCTTCTTTTCCATGAATCCCCCCCCCAAAAAAAAAAAATCCTCCAAACTTACATTAACCTGGCTCAATAGGAGGCATTTTCTTGAACTTATTAAAAAATCCAGACTTGTAAATTAATTTGTTCATGTTGTACAATGGCAGTGCAGATGGACTCATTAGCATGCACACAACAAATAATTATAGATGAATTTTTAGCTGGCCTGCTTAATGGGCTTGCTGGGTTAATTATGTCAATGTATAATTACATCAGCCCTGGGAGACATAATGGCACACCCCGCTGAGCAGACACTAGCTAATGATGGTGTAATGCTGACAGAGGGAAGACGGACGGCTCCGGATGCACCTGCTTACCTCGGCACAAACCTCATTGTCTGTGCCCAAACCAGCCCTGCTGGAGCCAGGGTGCCATGGGAGGGGATGCCCCCGTGCCCCCTGCCCGTCCCTCCGTGCCTCGGAGGGACTTGGCATGTCCTCATGGCTCCTAGAAAGGCAGGACATGGAGGTGTCCCCATGGCACCTGGAATGGCAGAACTCAGGGTATCCCCATGGCACCTGGAATGGCAGGACCTGGGGGTGTCCCCACAGCTCCTGGAATGGCAGAACTCAGGGTATCCCCAAAATTCCGAGAAAGGCAGGACCTGGAGTGTTCCCAGGGCTCCTGGAATGGCAGAACTCAGGGTATCCCCATGGCTTTGGGGATGGCAGGACCTTACGTGTCCCCATGGCTCCTAGAAAGGCAGGACCTGGGGATGTCCCCATGGCTCCTGGAATGGCAGAACTCAGGATATCCCCCTGGCTCCTGGAATGGCAGAACTCAGGATATCCTCACAGTTCCTAGAAAGGCAGGATCTGGGGATGTCCCCCTGGCTCCTGGAATGGCAGAACTCAGGATATCCCCACAATTCCTAGAAAGGCAGGACCTGGTGTGTCCCCACGGCTTTGGGGAAGGCAGGACTTGGGGTTGTCCCCATGGCTCCTGGAATGGCAGAACCCGGGATATCCCCATGGCACCTGCAAAGACAGGACCCGGCGTGTCCCCACGGCTTTGGGGAAGGCAGGACCCGGGGTGTCCCCAGGGCACGGGGAGGCGGGACAGGGCCCGTGCAGAGCCATCCCCGCTGCTCACCGCCCGCCCCGCATCCCGCAGACCCCGCTCCTGTGCTGGAGGCTGCCCGGAGCCTGGAGGATCGGCTGCAGCAGCTCCAGCGCCTCGAGGCGGAGCCGCCGCCCCTGAAGGATCTCAGCCGGCCCTGGAAGAAGCACCCGGAGCTCGGCAGCGCCAAAGGTACCGCTGGGGAAGGGTGGCAGCCCCCTCGGAGCATCCCCGCAGCGCGGGGCGGGTCCCGGGGCCGGGAGCTGCCCCCTGGCCACCGCTGCTGTCCCCTCCGCAGCCGTGTGACTGTGTCCCCCCGCAGAGCGCAGGGAGGGGAAGCCGCCCGCAGCCGAGCCCCCGCTGCCCGGCCTCGACGGCAAAGCAGCCGGCACAGAGACCTCGCTGCCGAGAAATGAGGCAGACAAGCAAAAGTGCGTGAGTGCCGGGAATGGGGTGGTTTTGGGGCGCTGTGAGGACGTGTGGCTCTGTCCCTGCTCCTGTCCATCCCCCTTCTCCTTCCCTTTGCTGTCTGGTTGGGAGTGGCCGCACCCGACACCTCTCATACTCTCCCAGTGTGTGTCTGTCCATCCCCAGTCCCAGGTGGTTTTGGGGAAGCAGCAGGCACAGGCACAGCCGGGACAGGTCCCTGCTGTTGTCCCTGGCTCATGGCTTTGCTCGGACTCATGGGTTGAATCCAGGTCGCTGTGTGAACCTCACTAGATGACCTTTTAATTCGGAGGCTCTGGTGCCTTCATTGTTATTCCTTGACACGCTGCTGCACCGGGAAACAAATGAAGAATCTTTAAACCCTAAATTGCAGATCTCTGCGAGTAAGTTCCTGGCAAGTGCAGGCTATAAATAATGCAGAATAACTTTCCCCTGATTGCTTCCCCCTCCTCCAGTTAATTACAGGTGGGGGTGGGCTGCCATGCCCCCCTCAGAGGGCTTTCAACCTCAGGGATCAGGGACCATTTTCAACCCAAAGTGAATTTTTTTACACTTTGGGGCAATAAACATTAAATATGTAACCCCTTAACACTGAGGGGTAACGCAGCTTGGACACATCCTGGTATCCACTGGTGGGTCTTTCCTGGCTTCAGTGAGTGATGGGCTAGAGGAGGGGGCTCTGAGGGGCCTCTGATTGATTTTTGGGGGGCTGTGGGGTTGGCAGGGGCGCGGTGCCCCCGGTACATCCCTGGTGCCCGTCTCTCGCAGGGGCCTGCAGGAAGCTCAGGTCACCTTGGCCGCTCGGCTGGGGGAGGCAGAGGAGAAGATCAAAGTGCTCCACACAGGTAGTGGGGCCGGGACAGGGGCTGCTGAGCGTGGAGGGCCAAGCCCCCACCCCGCAGCTCACCCTCCTCTTCCTCTTGCCAGCGCTGAAGGCCACCCAGACGGAGCTGCTGGAGCTGCGCTGTAAATACGACGAGGAGGCGGCGTCCAAGTGAGTTCCCAGCAGGGCTGGGTTGTGCTCAGAGCTGAGCCGAGCCACTTTTGGCAGCGCTGGGACATCTCCGTGGTGCTGCTTGAGGAGCTGAGATACTTCAAGCCACTGCAGGAACATCCTGAGTTGTGGTGTCATCAAAACTGTGGGAAAAACAAACTCTCCAACAACACCTTTTAAGTGTTGGAGAACCAAGGCATTACTTTATTCTGGCCGGGATGTGCAACAAGAATTATTTCATCCACACGTGCCTGGGTTGTGCAGTGAAAATCAGTCAATCACACCTGGTTTTGTACCAGACCTTCCATGTATTTGTACATAAAAACCCCACAGAAATTCATTGGTCTCAAATGACACAATCCTTAGTATTCCATCTCCTATTGGTTAGTAATCCCTTCACCTTCGATGCAAATTGCATCCTCATCCTTGGGTTCTCTTATCGATCTTTGCCCAGACCAGGTGTCTCCGACCCACCAGGGGGGAAATGTTTGTTAATGTTCCCTTATCTCCTGGTTATCTCCTGGAGTCTTTTGAGAAGAAACTTCAATTCTCCTCCCCCTGGGCTAAGGCGAGCAAGCCCCTGACTAAAATTACCAAAAAAAAGTTGAAAGTTGTATAATTTCCAGCAGCAGGGTCCTTATTCCTCAGACTTAACCCGTGTTCGGGGCTGTCTGTGCCCCCACACCCACTGACTCCTCTTGTTTTCTGTCTCAGGGCAGATGAAGTGGCCATGATCATGACCAACCTCGAAAAAGCCAACCAGGTGAGCCAGGAGCTGACTTTGCAGGAGCTGGTGGGGTTGGCCCTGGAGAACCCAGGGTGCTGCACACACCCTGAGTATCTGTGTGACCTGGATGTCTGTCCCCAAAACTGCCAAGGGGTTGACAGGCACCAGTGTTGGGAATCCCTACAAAGCAGAGCTCGGGTTTCCTCCCCCTGGTGGGACCTCCTGCCCCATGTGTGGGGTCAAGGGTGTGTTTGGCTTTCTGTCAGGCTCCATTTGGCTGCTGGAGCTGGCACTTGTCACCTCCAGCCTCTCACGGGTGTTTTAGGGCACAACCCCACTCTGTTCCTGTGTTAGATTCCGTTGTAATCTCTCTTGGTCCTGCCCACTCCTCTTAATTAGTTTTATTTTATTCTGAAAATGTAGGTACAGATAAATGCATGTGGTTAAAAAAAGAGATCTAAAGAACAATTTGTGTAAATAAAACCATCCTTTTGGGTGGAAAAAAAATGGTGTCCTGGACATGGTCTGCAGCCAGTGCCCAAGGATTGGGATCCGGAACTGTGTTAGGACATGGGGACCTTAAATATCTGGGGGGAGCTTAAATATCTGGGGGGAGCTTAAATATCTGGGGGGAGCTTAAATATCTGGGCTGGGCTTATGATGATGGAGGTGGGAGTGGGGTGCTCAGGAGAGGCACAGACTGGGGCAGATCCTGGGCCCTGTGTGGGGTGGGGTGAGCCTCAGTTCCTGGCGTGATTCCTGTTCTGTTCTCCTGCAGCGGGCGGAGGCGGCGCAGAGGGAAGTGGAGAGTTTGAGGGAGCAGCTGGCGGCTGTCAACAGCTCCCTGCGCCTGGCCTGCTGCTCCCCGACGGGCACCACGGGGGTGAGGGCATCCTCGGGGCCAGGAGCACCCCTTGGGGCCAGGAACAGCCCTGGGGCCAAGGACAGCCCTGGGCCAGCAGCACCCCCCTGCAGCTGGCAGCATCTGTCACAGCCAGGAGCATCCCATTGCCCTTGGGAGAACCCTGCTGATGCAGGAGCACCTTTTTGTGTTTGGGAGCACCCACCATGCTGGGGAGCAAGCCCAAAATGCCTGAGGAGTGTTTTCACCCTGAGGTGGTGGCACTGGTTGTGCCCTTCAGCATCCCACGGAGAAGGGGACATGCACCCCCACAGCACTGAAATGTGCTTGGGAGACCTTTAAGGGCACAAGGAAGGTCTGTCCCTCCCCAGGGCTCTGTCACCAGTGTCCCCAATGCGCTGGGCTGAGCCTTGCTTCCTATGGGGACATGTCCAATGGGGAGGGTGGCCCGTGTCCCCATCTTGGGTGGCCGGGAGCTGACAGTGTCCCCTCTCCCAGCAGGACAAAGTGAACTATTCCATGTGCTCAGGGTCGAGGTTGGAGGCAGCTCTGGCTGCCAAGGACCGGGAGATCCTGCGGCTCCTGAAGGACGTGCAGCACCTCCAGAGCTCGCTGCAGGAGCTGGAGGAGTCCTCTGCCACCCAGATCGCCGAGCTGGAGGGGCAGCTGGCCGCCAAGAACGAGGCCATCGAGGTGCGCCCGCGGGGCTTGGGGCGTGCCAGGGGTGGGGGACACGGGTCCTGCGTGGCCACCAGGAGCCGGCTGCAAGGAGTCCCCTCCTCTGCTCCACAGAAGCTGGAGGAGAAGCTGCAGGCACAGGCAGACTACGAGGAGATCAAAACCGAGCTGAGGTATGGCATGACGGGCACCAAGCCTTGCCGGTGTCCTGGCACCCACAGCCGTGACACGGCCACCACGTCACCCCCTTGTCTCCCTCCCAGCATCCTGAAGGCGATGAAGGTGGCCTCTGCCGGCTGCAGCCTGCCCCAGGCAAGTGCCGTGGCGCGTCCCGGGGCGCTGGCCGGGCTGTGCCAGCCCTGCCGGCGCTGCCTCCGCCGCCTGTCCCCATCTCGGCTTGGCTCCTTGCAGAGCATCTCCAAGGCGGAGGAGGCCCTGCTGCTGGGGAAGGAGGCTTTCTACCCCTCCCAGAAGTACCTGCTGGAGAAGCCCAGCCTGCTGGCCAGCACTGGTAGGGAGCCTAGATTCTGTGGCATCGCGCTGGGAATATCCGTGGGGATGTGGGTGGCCTGGCTGTGGTGGGGTGGGATGTCACCTGGGGAAACTGAGGCAGGAGCTGTTTGGCTGCAGGGCTGTGCCCGAGCCGTGGCCACAGGGACTCTAGTGTGTCTCCCTCTCTCTCCTTCATCTCTAGAGGAGGATCACTCCGAAGACGAGTCGGGGAAGGATGCGCTGGGCATGGAGCAGCCGTACCCATCACCCCACCACGCCCCGGCCGATGACCCTGCGTCCCCCACTCCCCTCCCGCCTCTGCCTGGCCCCGGCATGGCCCCTGACGGTCCCCGGACTTTCTCCCTGTCCCCCTTCCCGGGGGGCGAGCGGCTTCCAGGGGACCCCAAGGCCCCCCACCTCCCGCTGGCCAGCTACAAGAGCGAGAGCAGCAGCGGGGCACCGCCCTTCCCCTCCTCCCTCTTCGGGGCCAAAAGCAGCACCGTGCACCCTGTCCCCGTGCCGGCCACCAGTGCCACCAGCCCTCCCGGCGAGCCCTCCGAGGGCAGCGCCGGCAGCTCCGCCGAGGAGGAGCAGCTGGACACGGCCGAAATCGCCTTCCAGGTGAAGGAGCAGCTGCTGAAGCACAACATCGGGCAGAGGGTCTTCGGGCACTACGTGCTGGGGCTGTCGCAGGGCTCCGTCAGCGAGATCCTGGCGCGGCCCAAGCCCTGGCACAAGCTGACGGTGAAGGGCAAGGAGCCGTTCATCAAGATGAAGCAGTTCCTCTCCGACGAGCAGAACGTGCTGGCCCTGAGGACTATCCAGGTGCGCCAGAGAGGTGAGTGGTTGGGGTGGCCCTCACCAGCGGGTCCTGTCCCCTCCCAGTGCACCCCAATTCACCCTGGCAGCACCCTGGGGTGCCCCATGCCATGCTCACCAGACCCTGATGTGCTGGGGTGCTGGTCCCACCAGTGGCACCCTGGGATTTTCCCTGCTGGGATGGAGCTGGCTGTTGGCTGGGATGGGCCCTGGCAAACGGCAGCAATTAACAACAACCCGTGGCTGTGGAAGCTGCATCCCTGGACGTGCCTTACTCATTTATTCTGACAAGTGCCATTTAATTATTCATTAGGCTGTTCCGTGCCGTATGAATCAATGTGCTCCGGAATATTTCATTAAAATAATGAAGTTTTAGTGCTGCGGAACCTTGGCGCGGCGTTGGCACAGCCGTGGAATGGTGACTCCCATCTCTGGGGACAGTGGCTGCTGGCCACATCTCAGCAGTGGCAGCTGGTCACTCGAGTCCCCGTGGTGGCACCAGGACTGGACAATGCACACCCATGGCCCGTGCACCTGCTGGTTTCATCCTGGAGGGCTCTGATTTATCCCCTGGATCTGATCCATCATTAACACTTCTCTTACACGGCCAGGAGGGCGCAGTGCCAGGGATGGGGACATGGTCCTTGTGTTAATTTCTCTGCTCCTGGTGGGGAGAGGGTGCCCTTTGTTTGGATGGTGGGAGATGCTGTGCCAGAGGCAGGAGCTGGCCAGGGCTATCAGAGCTCCCTGTGCTCTGGTAGCGACTAATCAGGAGTGACATTTGTCTTCAAACCAGCATCCCTAAAAATAACCGAACAAGAGGAGCAGTAAATACTTCCTGACATACAAGTGGAGCTTGTAAAACCAGCGCTGGTGACAAAGCTGTTATCCTGCCTCTTTGATCAGGTAGCATCACGCCACGGATCAGGACGCCAGAGACCGGCTCCGACGACGCCATCAAAAGCATCCTGGAGCAGGCAAAAAAGGAGATTGAGTCGCAGAAGGGAGGTAGGTGCAGCCATGGGGGTGGCTCCAGGGGTGGCCAAGTCCCTGCTCTGCCCTGTGGCAGCAGCACCCAAAGGGGTGCCAGTGGCTGGGTGCTCTGTGGCTGTGGGTTCCACCCCAAAAATTGGCTTTTTTGGGGGTGTTTCACCCATCGACATCCATGGAGAATTTTAGGGCATGTTGGAAGGAAATACCGTGTGGGATGGAAGAGTCCCTGTGCAGCAGAGTTCAGGTCTGGGCTTTCAGAAACTTTGGATGCACTCTTTTCCTCCCCCCTGCCCCAAACCAGATGATTAAATGAGTATTCAGAATCCATCTGGCACGAGGAATCATTAAAGCAGCTGCTCTCACAGTCAATTACAAGAAATGAAACACATTAAAACAGGTAGTCTGCTGAGAAAGCAGAATCACGGAGAATTAAATTAGACGGGAACGGTGGAAAAACAGGCAGGGAAAACAAACATGTTTGTCTATCGCATTGTTGGTAATGGGATTTATTTCACAATCATCAAAAAAGAAGTTGGCTTTGAGTTGGGCTGTTGAAGCTTTTGCTTTGTGGATGCTGCTGCTCCGAACCCAATCGGGATAAACTGCTTTTGTCCCACACTTCGAGCCGTGGCCACACAGCAAACAACGTGTGCTGCTCCTCGGGGCTGCCCTCACCCCTTTTTTCTGCAGGGGAGCCCAAAACACCGTCGGCATCGCAGGCAGTGGCCAACGGGGCGGGTGGCAGCAGCTCAGAGGACGCCATCAAGAGCATCCTGGAGCAGGCGCGGCGGGAGATGCAGGCGCAGCAGCAGGCGCTGCTGGACATGGAGTCGGGGGCCAGCGGGCGCGGCGGGGACGCGGCGCCCACCGAGCGCTCCACGCTGGCCACCGTCAGCCAGAACATCGCCCCCACCTACGTCAAGCAGGAGGAGGGCAGCGGGGGCAGCCCTGGCCCGCCACAGACGCCCCTGGCCGTGCTCTCCCCCGCCGCCTTTGTGCAGAGCATCATCCGGAAGGTGAAGTCGGAGATCGGCGACGCCGGCTCCTACTTCGACCAGCACTGGGCGTCGGAGCGGAGCCTGCTCAGCCGGCCCTACACCTCCGTGTCGCCTTCGCTGTCCTCCTCCTCCTCGAGCTACTCCAGCATGGCCAACGGCAGGGGCTGGCCGCGGGGTGAGCCTGGTGAGGGTGGCACCAACGAGGACGAGCTGCAGGCGGTGGACGAGGAGCCCCAGCGGCTGTCGGAGATGAAGGCGGAGGGAGCCGGCGCGGAGCCGGCGGCTGGTGGGCGTCTGTCCTACTACCCCACGTACGTGCCACGGACCCTGAAGCCAACGGTGCCACCGCTGACGCCGGAGCAGTATGAGATGTACATGTACAGGGAGGTGGACACGCTGGAGCTGACCCGGCAGGTCAAGGAGAAGTTGGCCAAGAACGGCATCTGCCAGAGGATCTTCGGAGAGAAGGTACCAGCCTGGAGAAGGGGGGGCTGGTGTCCCCTCTGCTCCATGACCCAGAGCCTGGGGCTCATTGGTGGCCTTCACCAGCTCCTTCCAGAGTCTTCCTTTTCCCTGGTCTGTTTCCCCTTGGAGGACTCTGAGTCCTCAGGATCTGACCCAACCCCAGTCTCCCAGTGGCCACCACTAATTGGTTGGTGGCACTTCCCACCAAGAATACCCAGTCCCCTAAACAGAGCCCTTTGGGGACCAGCCTCCCACCCCACTGGGTGTCCTGGGGGACCCACCAACAGCACCCATGGCAGGGGACAGAGGGTCCAGACATGCTGTGGGGCAGCGGGTGGCAGTGGGTGGCATCCTGCTCCCCCTCCCCTGACACGGGAGTGGAGGGCAGGCAGGCTTCCCAGCACTGGGGGAGTGCACCCCGCCTTCAGCGGGTGACGCCTGCGTGGTGCCCAGGTGCTGGGACTGTCCCAGGGCAGTGTGAGTGACATGCTGTCGCGGCCCAAACCGTGGAGCAAGCTGACGCAGAAGGGTCGGGAGCCCTTCATCCGCATGCAGCTCTGGCTGACAGACCAGCTGGGCCAGGGGATCAGCCAGCAGCCCACACCCTCCCAGGGTAAGTGACATCACTGTCCCTGTGGTCCCCACGTGCCATCAGTGTCCCCACCACTTCTGTGTCCATCCCCTGCATCCCAGTGAGTTTGTCCTGCTCCCACCCCAGCACTGGGAAGAGCTGTCCCAGCCCACTCCAATACCAACATCCAGATCCTGGGAAGCCCCTTTCATACCCAACCCCCTTCATTTAAAACAAAAATAAAAGGAAAGCCACATCAAAAATCTTGGGCTTTGTGCCTGACATAAAGCAGTAACTGGATTTTTTTTTTGTGTTATATTGGTGGCATTTTCTCTCTAATTATTCCATCACCACCATCTCCCACTTTGTAACCACTGGAAAAATTTGGCTGGTATCCCTCTTCTCTAGAGGGCAAAGCCATAGGCATCCCCCAAATGCCCTTTCTGCTCCTGCTGGGTCCCTGCACTGTCCCCTCCCGCTGACCCCTCTGCCCTGGTGTCACACAGCCAGCCCGGCGGAGCCCCAGCCGTCCCCCTCGCCGCCCCCCAGCCCCACTGAGCACGAGAAGGGCTGCCAGGAGCCCCTCACCCTGGCCTTGGAGAGCAGCAAGGAGAACCAGCAGCCCGAGAGCCGCTCGACGCCTCTGCTGGGTGGGAAGGCGTATCCCAACAGCCAGGGCCCCATGGGCATCCAGGAGATCGTCGCCATGTCCCCAGAGCTGGACACCTACTCCATCACCAAGAAGGTCAAGGAGGTCTTGACAGACAACAATTTAGGTGCGGACCCTCTCTCTGCCCAAGTTTTTGGGAGCTGCTGGTGAGACTGCATGGATCCAGCACCCCAGTTCCTGTAGATGCAACCCCCCCTTCCCAGACGTTCTTCTGTGGGTGCTCGTGGGAATTCCAGGAGGATGCTGGCTGGGAAATGGGGTGCACCTGCTCTGCAGGGGGGCTGCAGCGCCCGTCCCGCTGCTCTGCCCCGCTAACCACCTCTGCTTCTCCTCCGCCAGGCCAGCGGCTGTTTGGGGAGAGCATCCTGGGCCTGACGCAGGGCTCGGTGTCCGATCTCCTCTCCAGGCCCAAGCCGTGGCACAAGCTGAGCCTGAAGGGGAGGGAGCCCTTCGTCCGCATGCAGCTCTGGCTCAACGACCCCCACAACGTGGAGAAGCTGCGCGACATGAAGAAGCTGGAGAAGAAGGGTGAGGGACGGGGTGACACGGCCCCGCTGGGTGAGGGGTGCTGGCTATGGGGGGATCCTGGGCTGGAGGCGAGCCGTGCCAGCTGGGTGTCCTCTCCTGCAGCCTACCTGAAGCGCCGGTACGGGCTGATGAGCGCTGGCTCGGACAGCGAGTCCCCCGGCGCCCGCTCCGAGTGCGCCAGCCCCAGCGCGCCGCCGCAGGACCTCAGCCTGCTCCAGATCAAGAAGCCGCGGGTGGTGTTGGCGCCAGAGGAGAAGGAAGCCCTAAAGAAAGCCTACCAGCTGGAGCCATATCCCTCCCAGCAGACCATCGAGCTGCTCTCCTTCCAGCTCAACCTCAAGACCAACACCGTCATCAACTGGTTCCACAACTACAGGTACGGGCACTCCCGGGCTTTTGGGGTGCTGTGCCACAAAAGGGGTGTCACTGTTCCCCTTCCAGCCTTCCCCATCACTCTTCCCTAGATGGGTGGTGCAGACCCACTGGAGGTCCCCAGGTTGGGTGGTGTTGGCTACCTTGACCAAGTCATGTTGAGCATGTACAGTGGTTTCCACGCTCACATGCACCTGCTCACCCCAGAACAGGATGTCTGAGAAGGGGGACAGCCTTATGGAGGCTGCTGGAGCACGGGATCCATCCCCACAGCAGCCCAGCCCTGGGGAGCAGCACAGCTTTCATCCCTAGGTGATATTGCAGTGGACAGTTTGCCCAGTGGCTGGAGACATGGCATGGTGGTTGTTGCCACCTCTCCGTGGTTGTGTCCTGCAGGTCACGCATGCGCCGAGAGATGCTGGTGGAGGGCACGCAGGACAATGACACGGACCCGGAGCAGAGTGGCGGGACGGCCATCCCCGGGCGCCGGGCCCCCCACAGCCCCGATTCGGACACCGAGGATCACAAACCCGTGTTCGTGGGGGGCGAGCCCCCCTGCGCCGCCGTGCCCGTGAAGGTGAAGGAGGAGCAGGGGGATCCGGGCGGCTGGAGCCGCCGTCGGGACTCACGCAGCCCGGCCGGAGCGGCCGAAGGGACCGGACCTCCCCAGGAGGAGCGGGGGGCAGCCCCCCACGCCGCCGCCCCCAGCCTCCCGCGGCGGGGAGGCCGCGCCGGTGCCACCGCTGGGGGACCTCCGCCGCCGCCACCGCCGCACCCCGACAGCTCCCAGTCCTCGGCGGGGTCGTCCCGTTGCAGCTTGGTGGTGTCCCCAACATCGCCCTCGGCGGCTTCCTCGCCCGGCCTCACCGGCTCGGCCTCGCCAGGACCATCCTCTGCCGGGCCGGTCTCGCCCGCGCTGCCACCGGCTCCCGGCCCCCGGCTCAGCACCAGCGTGCAGCGGCGCCACGAGAAGATGGCCAACCTCAACAACATCATCCACCGCCTGGAGCGGGCTGCCAACCGCGAGGAGGCCCTCGAGTGGGAGTTCTGAGCCCCCCGACACCCTAAATATATATACACACCCCCACACATATATATATATTTTGATAAATGCAGTGTGCACCGAGAGGTGACGAGTGGCCGGCGCCACGGAAGAGGAGCGCCCATGGAAAAGAGGGGACCCCCCCCCTCTATGAATCCGCCCCACCCCTCTGGCTTTGTTTTAAATGTGAAAAACTGGGAACAATTTTAGAAAAGAAAAACAAAAAAACAAAAAATATTTATAGACCTCTTTTAGATATTTTAATAAAAGGATACTTTGGAATTTATTAACAGCTTAAGCTGCTTTGATATTAAAGATAGCTATAAAATCAAGATGATGTAGCAGTCGTGTCATTAAATGTACACTGAAGTCTTGTAGTTTGCCACTGGATGAGATTAAAAACAAATAAACAAACAAAAAAAAAAGAAAACCAACCCACAGAAAAGACTTTTTGAGCAAAGCCATCAAGAAGCACTATGAGACTGACCAAATTTAAGAAACTTTTGCAGTTTCCACCCCTGTCTGTAAGACACTGCATCGCTTCTGCCCCAGCCAGAGACTGCATCCTAGTCCCTGAAGACTCTAAAGCCCCAATGCCATCGAGTATGTATTTAGTTCTGGTGGTTTATGTTTTTGGAAGCCTTTGTAACACAGAATGTCCCGTGCGGTTGTATATGTTGTAGAAATGTCTGCAATAGCCTTCTGGAACAAGATGTAGCATGGTCCCAACGCCGTCCCTCGCGCTTCCTCCGGCCGGTGGCAGCTCCCATCCGGCGTGGTGAGGCTCGTGCCAGCTCCCAGAGGAGAGAAAATGAGGCAAAAGCAAAGAAGGCAACCTGAGTGAGCTTGGGATTTTGGGAGTGGGATGGGAAAATGTCCCTGGGTGTGATGCTTGAGGATGGTGCCAGCTCGCTGGGGATGGACGTCATGGCATCCCGGTTCCCTGTCCATTCAGGAAAGAGAAAGGTGGAGCCTCTGAGCTTTGGCCCTGGAGCAGCAGAGCTTGAGGTGAGCACCCAAAAATCGTGAACCACCCACTCCAGGCTGAGCCCTGCTCAGGGCTGCTCCAGCATCACAGCCCAGCACTTTTTTAGGGAGATCACCAGGGCAGGAAAAGCGTCCCCTCCCCACAGCCGTGTCCCAGGTAGCGGATGTCAGTGATGCCAGGATGAGCTCTGGGGTGTCACATCAGGCTCCTGCCTAAACTGGGCAAGCTCAACCCTGAGCTGGGCAAAGCATCACTGATCCTTGGCTTTCCAGGGCTGATCCTGGGCAGACAGAGGAGCTCAGTGGTGGCACCATCCCGGTGTGCTCCCTGTCACCTCCCTGACCCTGCCACCTCCAGCCGGCCTCTGCTAACAAAATGCCTTTAAACAATGTGGAGTGTCCCACTCTGGGCTGCTCTGCCCTGTCCCCTGCACACATGGCATCACCCACCAAGGCCCTGCCAGGCTCCCAGGCGAAGCATTGACTGATTTTCCACTGCAGATGTTTTTATCAGAATAGAAGGTATTTTTGTACTCGGGTATTTTTGTACTCGGGTGGACGAGCAATGCTGGGTGAGGGCACAGCTCTCCTTGCCCGCCTCTCCTGCCCACGGCTGCTCTGCCACCGTGCTGTGGAAGGTGGAGGTGTGACCACTGACTGCCTTCTCCTTTTTGTGCTAGAGGGAGCTTTAGTGGGATTTGAGGATGCACTTAGGATAGTCCTGAGCACGGCAATCCTGTTGTATGAAAGCCAGCGGGACACACCGGTCACGTTTTTGTTAGGCTCATGTTCTGTACTTCAAAAGTTTCTATGAGATCGATGAACTTTGTTTAACAATTTTGGGAGGAACAAGTTCTGTAAAGAGCCACTAAATACAGAAGTTGGATACGACTCTGGCCTTGGCGTGTGTTTTGTCCGGAGGTGATGGAATGGGAACCCCTCTCACACTTGCCCAGTGTGGGCACCCTCAGAAGTCACAGCTTTGCTTTGGGATTGTGGTAAGAGCTCTCATTATCCCAGTGGCTGGGGGATAAAAAAAAAGGTGTTAAATGGGATTAGTCCAGCTCAGGGTGTGATCCTGCCCCATGAAATTCCTGTGCTCATCTCTGCTGCAGGTTTGCTCCTGCCCCTGGGGTAGCTCAGCGTCCTCCAGAATGACTTGCAGCTTGGTTTATCATAAAATCATCATTTCCTGGGATGGTTTGGGTTAGAAGAGACCTTAAGGATCATCTTACTCCAACGCCCTGCCACGGGCAGGGACACCTTCCACTTGACCAGGCTGCCAAAGCCCTGTCCAGCCTGGCACTGCCGATGGCACCGTGCCCCAGCACAGCTCTTGTTCAGAGCCAACCATCACTGGGCAAGTCAGCAGCTTCTGACACGAGGCAGGGCTGTTTGTGTCTGATGAATTAATAAATCCATATGTTGCATATCTGTTTGAGCTTGTTTGTCAGCGAACATGTTGAGAAGGACTTATCTTTGATGGATATCTGAACGTCTGGAGAAGCTGTGCCAGCTGCCATGGAGAGTGGAAACTTCCCCCTGTGGTGAAGGATGGAGCCACGAGAACCATCTGGGTGCTCTGGGTGCAGCTGCACCCTGGCTGCCCTTGGCACTGCTCCAAATGCCAAATTCCATAGGGGGATGCCTGCCTGGCCAGGAGCAGGCTCCATGTTCTGCAGGGCTCTTGGTGAGCAGGTGACCCTGGCTGGCTTTGTGCCTCAGTTTCCCCCAGAAGTGATGGCCCAACCTCTGCCAGATCTCGTGTTAAAGGGAAGATGGAGACATTCATGCAGGTGGGATGTGTGGGCAGGGACATGGGGACATGCTGGCCACTTTCACATGGGCAGAGTCCTTGGTCCCTGTGTAGCATCAACAAGGGGACAGATATTTTGTCCTGGTTAAGAGATGCCCTGATATGGGACCACCCTGGCACTGGGTGTCCCAATGTTCCCAGGGTGACCCATCCCATCTCACCCCATCCCTGCAGGCAGATATGGGGCTCCAGGACACTGCAAGACCCTGGTATTGGCTATGTCCCCTTCAGGTGACACAGTGCCTGAGGAGCCCCACAGACATGGTGGGCACAGAAGGACTAAAAGAAAGCATTAATTCCCACCTGGATCCCCCTCCCCAGGGGTTTAGAGGCACAAACAAGGACTGTGGATGGGAGGGAACAATTTTTATTGTAGAAAAATCTGTCCCAAGGGAACAAAGGCAGCTGGAGCCACCCAGCCTTAAGCCAGGGCACCCTGACTGCTCCCCCTTGCTCCAGGGTGGTTCACCCCACCTCTGGGCCAGCAGCTTGAGTTTCTGATGTGGAAATAAGATAGAAACACAGGCATGAGACACCAGCTTTGCTCTGGTTTGGCACATGAATCACTCCTCACGCTCTGCTGCTGACACACACGTTCCCGTTCGCCACCACGAGCGATGCTTCCCCTTATTGAGCTGGCACGGGGATGATGTGCTGTCCCAAAATATCCACAGCAAAGCAGTGCCTGAAGCTGCTGAATTCCCCCAGGGTCTGACCCCTCCCATATTTGGCTGCAAGCAGCAATTGCTCCCTATGAAATGCCCGGGGCTGGGTGTCACCAGCTCCCCTGAGCGTGCGGAGCTGCTGCTGCCATTAAGGAAGGGCTGCACTCACTGATATTTTCATTTCAAACCACATCCTGCTGGAGCAGAGGGATCTGGCAGAGCTCAGCCGACCTCAGCCTTGTGCTGGGCCAGGAGGGGAAGTTGGTAGCAGGCTCTCCATTGTGGAACCCACACGGGTGAGATCCCACCACAATCCTCCTCCAGAAGTTGTCAAGGCATGATCCCACTGCAAGAGCACCAAGAGGCCCCAGCAGAGCCAGAGCAGCAGTCGATTTCCAGGAGGCCTCAGTCCATGAGTGGTTTGCAGTTCGCTTGTGCTGAGTGGAGCACCCCAAACCCACATGGGGGCATGGCTGGAGGGCACCCCTGCGGTGCCCATTTCACCACCACAGAGCAGCACGGGTGTCCCTTGATGGCCAGCCCTCACTGGCCCCACCAGCAGGTGTCCATCACCACCACAGCCAGATCTGCACACCCCGGGGTGAGGAGGGGACAGGGCCAGCACCAAGGATGGCCACCTGCTCCAGCTCCTGGCAGGTTCCCAGGGCTCAACCACCGCTCAGGGCTGAGGGCCACGCCGCTTCTGCTGCCAGTCCTGCCGCAGCCGGGCCACCTCCCGGCTGTACTGCTCGTGCAGCCGGCAGAAGGCGGACGGGCCCTCTGCCCTGGCACTCGCCACCTCGCCGTTCACCGCCCGCCTGCGCGGCGGCAGCGGCGGCGGCCGCGGGCTCCCCTCCTCATCGTGCCCACCGCAGCCAGAGGCGTCGGGCGGCCAGTCCTCCCCCAGCACGTTGTTCCACACGGCGCAGCCGTTCTCCTTGGCGGGCAGAGCCGGCAGCCGCTCCCGGGACTGCTCCAGCCCCGGCGGCTTCGGCTTCCACGAGCCGGGAGCGTCCTGGGAACCCCCACATCCTCCGGGCAGCCCCCGGCTCATCTCCTGCAGCTGCTTCTCCAGCTCCCGCACCACCAGCCGCATGTAGTCAAAGCTGGCTCGGGACAGCGACTTCACCCAGGACTCCATGGCCGCCTGGCTCTCCGCCGCCAGCACGTAGGTGCGGGACTTGCTGCCGCCAAAGCGGATGGCGAAGGCGAAGTTCTCGGCTGAATCGCAGAGCTCCACATTGCAGCCCTCCAGCACGATGACGCCCACGGGCTCCCGGCTGTCGCGCTCCTCGAAGTAGAAGAGCATGTTGCCCTTGAGCACGAACCAGCGGCGGTGGTAGGCCGTGTGCCGCTCGCCGCGCTTGTAGAGGAAGCCGGAGTTGTCGGCCGGGGAGTCGCAGGTGGCGTAGAAGGCCAAGCTCCTCTCGTTCAGCTTCATGGCTCCGCGCCCTGCGGGGACAGAGGGGGCTCAGCGCTGCGCCTTAATTGCACGGAAACGAACCATCGCCTTTTTGTTCTGGCTGGCAGCAGCCCTGGCGCCCAGGAAATGGAGCTGCTGAATAAACAACACCGGGATACTTGGGATAAGCCCGCTCCCAGACCAGGTGCTGAGGCCGGCGGATGCCGGGTGGGCTCTGGCTCCCCAGGGCTCGCTGGGGACGAGGTTCACCCCACGACCACCACCCCAGCGGAGTGTTTTGCCACGGAGGAGCCCCAGGCAGGGCCTGTCCCGGTGCCCCACGTCACCTGCACAGGTGACCTTCCCGCCGTGTTTTCCGTGTCGCGCCGCTCCTCCCCGCGGTGGCAGGGAGGGTTCGGCCGGCGCCGTGGATCTGGCTGCCGCTCCAGAGCGCCGTGGCCATGAACCCCGCCACCAGGGCAAGGCCACCGCTCCTCTTATCCCCTAATCGCTGGCGGCCTCGCCGTGCCAGACTTTGCACTCACCTGGACTCTTACCTCCGGTCTGCGGCGGCCACCAGCATCAACGACACGCGCGCGGCCGTGGTGGCCGTGAGAGCGCTGGGTGCGGGGTCGGACGCTGCGAGGGGGCTTTGGGGCACGGCTCGCTCACGGTCACCTTTGTCCTCGGCTCCCACCGCCCCGGCCCGCCCGGCCCCGCGGGCGGAGCGCTGCTCCCGCCCGCCTCCGCCACCGCCCATCCCCGCGGCCGCCAGCGGGAGGGAGGAGCTGGGAAAGCGCTCCGGAGCTCGGCCCCGGGGCAGGGAGCTCCTGGCTCGGCCCAAAATCCCGGCAGGACACGGCTCCGGGCACCGGGAGTGAGGGCCAGGCAGAGCGGGGAGAGCGAGGGGGGAATGGGGGCACGCACTGGAGGGTGCGGGGATATGCACATCCCGGGGTGAATGTATGGATTTACTCGGGGATGTGCACGTGTGGGAAACGCAGAAGTTTAGTCCTGAAGGTGGCTGCACAACGTTGTATTTTTGAGCACGTTTTGGAGGGAAAGAATTGGGATTCTGGCAGGGAACGGGCAGAGGTTGGTGGATGAGGTGGGTGACACAAGCCCTGCAAGGAGGGATGGTGGCAGGACGTGGACTGGTTCTGTGTGGGTGGGGGATGCTGCAGGGGACCAGGCTGCAAGTCCTGGCTGCTCTCCCGACCTTCCAGCCATATCCTGGGGCCACAGATAAGTGTGGGGTGGTCTCAGTGCAGAGGGACACAAGAAGCTGAGTGGGGACAAGCCTCAGCCTGACTTCTGCTCTTGGATGGCCTTCCAGGCTCACAGGACCACCTTGGCAGTGTTGCTGTCCTCACCTTGTCCCAGTAAATACCAGCGTCAAGGATTTGCTCTCCTTATCACTGTCCCTTTCCTCTGGTTTCTTCATCCCCCTGCTCCGCTCCACAGCCATGTGTGCATTTTGGTAATCAAGGAATTTTACAGGTCCCCATCCCAGAATCCCTGCTGTCCCTGACCTCTGCCACAGGTTGTGGTTCACTCCCCACCCACAGATGCCCTCATTCCCCTGCACAACTGCTCAGGACTTTATAATTTTCTGCTTGTGTCAGAGGTTTTCAGTTCTCCGAGGGTTTTCCTTGTCACCTGCAGACTTTCACTTTCAGGCTATAAAAAGGAATTCAAACCAGTACTAAAACCATCTGGGCTTTATCTTCCCTCCTGAGCAGAGCAGCTCTGTTCAAGGTCGCTGGTGGGAAGTCTCAGGGCGCTGCAGCACTTATCTCCCTGCCTAGCTCAGAGATGCCTTTTCACACGGCAAGATTAGAATGGGAAGGGCTGTGGGGAGAAGCAATATCTTTATTAGAGCAGCTCGGCTAATTGGAAAAAGGCAGCAGCGCTCCCAACTCTGCTTTCCTTTCCTGGGACTCCAAAGCCGCGTTTTCATCTTGCAGAGGTTGTTCCTCCTCCACAGCTGCTCTGGAAAATCTTCCCAATTCCTCAAAAACACCGGCAAAATTCCCCTGTGGATTTTTGCTTCCCATTGGGTCTCTCTTGGGACAGTCACATGTGGCTGCACCAGCTGCAGGACTTCCCTTTCTGAGCAGCTCCATATTTTCCCTGTTGTCCCCCAGCATCCCCCCAGCAAGGAGCCCAGACCCCGTTCCTCAGCTTCCCCATCAACTTTTGATGGGAAAAATGGAAAAATGAACTCCCGTGTAGAACTTGCCCGACAGCAGAGGAAAAGGGAAAAGAAAAGGGTCTGAAAGGAGGTGAGGGGGTGCCAGGAGCATTTCTGGACGTGGGATGCCCTCGGCCCCAGCTTCCAGCTGCTCCCATGACCGGTGACTTGCTGCGATTACACAGCAGTGGGTGCTGCGGGCTCAGCCAGGGCAGCGGGAGCTCTGAGTCACCCCAGTGCCGGGAATCGCGGGGTGCTGGGGGTACCGGGGGCTCTGGGATACCTGGCTCTGTGCGGGTCCCCGGCAGAGAATCACCCCCGGGACCCCAAATGGATCCCAAACTGTGACTTGGTGCTCAAGGAGAACAAATCCCGACTGTCACCGCAACGCGGGCGTGGGGCGGGCGCCTCTCGGGGTGCGGGATCTGCCCCCTCCGCTCCCCCGCGGGGTTCCCCGACCACGCCGCCTCCAGCCGGGCACCGGGGCGCTCTGCCCCGGCCCCTCCGGGCAGGCGGAGCCGGGCGGGGAAGGGCCGGAGGCGGCGGCTGCAGCGCGGGGAAGGGCCGGGAGAGGGCGGCGGGAGCCCGGCCACGGCGGGGACGAGGGGACAGCCAGCCTCCGCCACTGCCTCCATCCCGCGCCATCAGCACCCCCCTGGCCATCAGCACCCCCTCCACAACCAGCCCGACCATCCCTAAATCACCGCCTCCGTTACCATCTCCCCCCCAGCCAGCCCTCGGAAGGGACGCGTAAAAGCCAGGAGAAGATTTTGGGGGGCGTTTTCCAGCTCAGCACAGACCCTCACAGCGGAGCGTTTCCAGATGTGGTCGCCCCCTCCGGGCAGGGTGGGACGGACAATACCTCGGTGAGGGATGGGAGAGGTCACCTGAAACCCATCACATCCCACCCAGAGATGTGCGAACGAGCCATCTCCAACCCGCCCCACTCGTCCCGAAAACAGAATGGGCCAGAGCACAGCAATTAAAGAGGGAGGTGGGAAGGACGGCTGGAAGCCGGTGAAGTTTTTTTTTACACAGCAGAAGAAAGCAGCAATGGTTAAAAGCTGAGGGCAGCGCAGAGCGGAAGGGAAGCAGCGCCTGAGTGAGTGTGTGTTTAAGAGCATCTGCGCAGCTCCACATGCACAAACAAAAAAAACAAAAAAAAAGCAGAAGTCGGGGGTAGTGAATTAGCAGTTGGGGACTGAGAAAATCCATACAGGAAGCAAAACAAAAGAGAAATCTCAGGCCATTGGGGCTGAGGACGCTGAGAGGGCGCTTCTGACATAGATGAAGCTGATAAAGAAAAGTGCGAGCGCTGGGAGCTGGGACAGCCGCCCGCGGGAAGGGGGGCAGGCACCCGGATCCGCCGGCCGCTCCCCCGATCTCAGGAAAAGAGCCAGAAGGTGCAATTATGCATAAAGCAACGGCAGGAGGAATTAAAAAGCAGATTTCAAGGTAAGATTTTATCATGTCAGCTGCTCGCAGCCACTTCCTTGTGGGGTTTGGGAAGGGCTGATTGGGTGCAGAGTCACCTGGATCCCTGGCAGTGCCCCAGGGGCTGCGGGGTTATGGCTCAGATCTGATCCGGGGGGGTTGCTGAGGCTGCAGAAGGGCAGCAGGGCTGTGGCCAAACCGGCCGTGGTCCAGGGGAGGCGCAGCTCCAGCACGGAGTTTGCATTTCGGTCGTTTCTTCACTGGAAGGTGGATTGGGAATGGATGGGGTGAACAACTGATGGGAAAACTGTGTTTAAAGCACCACGGAGGAGGGGTGACACGCAGATGTTCACAAATGGCTCAGTGCGTCCCCAGCCCACTCCCCAAGGGCAAATTCCTGCAGCTTCCACCTTCCCAACACCCACAAATCCATTGTGTGGAGTGTGTGAAATCCCAGCTGCCACATCCCCGGGCTTCCTTGGCTTGGCATGCTGGTGGGCACCAGACCCGGGCACCACCACGGCTGCTCTGCCGTGGCTTTTCCTGCGCAATGTGAGTGGCCTCTGTCCCTCTGTCCCATTCCAGACACGGCTTTGTAGGAGCTCTTGGCACACGAGTGGGGGATATCAATGGGACAGATGTGACAGTGCAGACCACAGTAATGCCCTTTACTGGAAAAAGGTGCAGTGCAAGTTTATTTTTGCTCCATTTCCCACGGCAGAGTGGGTGGCTGCGGCGCTGCCGTGGGGCCCCTGCTCTCTTGGGATGAGATGGCACCAGGATGGCTGAGCCTGACCCGTGTCCACCCACAGCAGTTCCCAGCCCTGCTCGGGATCCAGGGACACTGTGACCGCTCTGTCACGGCTGGAGCCCTCGCCCACGGTGTGGGACAACTCTGAGCCCTGTGTCCTGATCCGCTCTGGCTGGACGTGGGCAGCAGCCTGCGCTGCCTTTTGCCACAAGACAATTTGGAAAATTATGAGAAATAGGGTTTGAGACGGCATCTGGCCCACTGCTGCCACCGCACAGGTCCCTCGGGTCCCAGCCCTCGGAGCTGGAACAGGAACGGAGGCATTTTCTTCCCGAGCCTCCAAGAGCCCCTCGCTCGGGCTCCCTCCCGCCTCCCGGGGGGCTGGGGCGGACACCCCCAAATCCACGGAGAAAACATTCAAAAGTCACAGAAACTAAACAAGTATGTGTCAAAATTAAAAATAAATCCACCCCGGGAGCGCGGCCGGGCTGTTTGTGCTGCTGGCTCCGCGGGCGCGGATGCGATAAGATAAAGGCAGGAGCGGGGAGGGGCGGCGCGGAGCTGCGCGGAGCCGGGCGCGTCCGCGGGGCTGGACGGACGGACACACACACACAGGGACAGTCACACGAGCGGACGGACGGACGGACGGACGGACAAGCGGACCTGGCGGCCCCTCCGCTCCGCCCCCGCGCAGCCTCCGCCCCCGGCCGCGCCGCTCCGCTTTACATAACCCGTCCGGGGCCGGGGTCCGCGCCCCGCGCCTCCGCCCGGCGGAAATGCGGAGCCGCCTGCCCCGGTTTCCTGCCTGAGCCGAGCCGAGCCGAGCCGTGCTGAGCCGTGCGCCCCGTCCCGCCCGCCCCGTCCCGGGCGCTCCGCGGCTCCATCATGGGCGAGCGGCAGCCGGACGCCTTCTCCTGCAGGTAACCGCGACCGGGACGGGCTGGACCGGGCTGGGCTGGACCGGGACGGACCGGGCTGGACCGGGACGGGACGGGCGGCCCCGGGAAGCGGCCGCTGCAAAGCGAAAGTAGCGGCGGGAGGAAGCAGCGAGGCGGCCGCTCCTCCTGCGCAGCCCCCGGAGCTGCCCCGGGCTGGATTCTCTCGCCCGGGGAACTCCGGTGCACCCGTTCGGAGTAGTGAGCCCCTTCCTCTGCCAGCCCTCGGACAGCAGCCCCTTCCTCAGCCCATTTCTGTGCGGCACAGCCTTTTCCCTGCCCTTTCCTCGGGCTGCCTCTTTCCAGGGACTGTTCGCCCGTGGGAAGCCGTGGTCCCGTTTTCGTCGTGGGCGCTCCCTGCTCCAGGGGCTCTGTTCCGCTGTGGGTGCCCCCATCCTGGGCACCCCATTCCTTCTAGCACCACGGGACCCCAGAGCACCCCTTCTTTTGGGATCCCTCCACGTGCCCCATTTCCCAGCATCTGTATTTTGGAGATCCCAGAGCAGGGAGCAGCATGCAGGGAGCCAGCCTTGCTCCTCTCCTCTGCCTTCCCCGGACCCCTGCAGCCCCTGCCGTGGGGGTGACCCCTCTGGGAGGGTGCAGGACCGGTGGGGTGATGCCCACCTGCCCCACGTTGTGCGGTCCTGTTCTGCCCGAGGGGGCCATGCCTTGCCTCTGCCCCGTGCCCGCTGTGAGTGCCAAGCAGAGCTGCCACCCAGAGCCTGCCAAGCAGCTCCTCTGACTCTCTGCTCCCTGCAGACTTTGTTGGCCCCGTGGCTTGGCAGGGGCTCGGAGCACGAGGCCGATGCACCAGCGGTCAGCATCCCCGCAGCCTTCCCATGCCCTGCCAGCGTGCCCAGTGCTGCCTGTGCCAAACCCCATCAGGGTCACCCACGGAGAGCCTGGACCCGCTGGCTCATGGCGGTGACACGGTCATTGCAGCCCGGGCTGGGATTTACTGTCAAGGAAACCAGGATGAGTTGCTGAGCTGCGATTTCGATATTGTTGTAAATTGATTCAAGATGTGCTGGAGTTGTGGGCTGGTGGCCTGGGGACTCTGTGGGGCTGCAGCCAGAGGAAGAGGTGGCCTGTGCAGGGACTTGGCGCTGCCAGCTCCTGCATGTCCTCGCTGCTCTTGGATTTGCTGGCAGGAAATGGGATTGGTGTTTAAAGGCCTGTGGAATTAGGGGCAGGTTTCACTTTAACTTGTTTGGGACTAGAACAATGCTCTGGATTTCTTTTTAACTTTTTTTGGGGCAGGAGACACTCATCCCTGTGCATTTTCCCCTCCCCAAAGCTTCTTCTATTTTCTCTTACTTTTACATATTTATTGCCTCTGGTAAGATCTGGTTTGGTTTCACCAGAGCCCACAGGGCTGCAGGTCTGCCAGCACCCTGTGCTGTGTTGGTGAGGTCGGGCTGTGAGTGCCAGTGGCTTTTGAGGGCTCTTCCATCCTCTGCCAGAGCAAATCATCCACACCCACCCACCCATGGCACCGATGGGCACCGTGAGAGTGTGTGACAAATCCCAGCGGGTGACACAAAGTGAAAGTGCAAGCGCTCCTCGCTGCTGGGGTTTGTGGTGCTGCCGCAGCTCGGCAAGGAGAAAGGGCCAAATCCAGCAATCCCCGGGGGGCTGCTGTGGCGAGGCAGGCTGGCTGGGAGCTCAGCTGCTCCCTGCTGTCCCCAGGGACCCCCGGGCAGCCGCTCCCCCAGGAGCACTCCCTGCACCCGGCTTCTCCCACGCCTACACCGCAGCGATTCATTTCATGCAACAAAACAAGCCCTGTCGAAAGAGGCCACCCCACTGCCGGGCTTTTCCCCGCAGGCAGTGGGTGTAGGAGAGTGTGATGGTGTAAACCCGGCTGTGAGGTGCCAGACACCACGGTATGGAGGCAGGCTCGGGGTTTTTTGGGGAGCTGGGCTGGCCACAGCTGTTTGTGCTGGTGGGTTGCTGCGGGCTGAGCCAGCGTGGAGCTTGCATTTGACCTGAGATGGGTTTGGGTTTTCTCTATCCTGTCTGTCCTGTTGGAGTGGTCAGGGAAAGCCAAGCAGGTGAACTTTAATCGGATTTGAAGTGCTGTAACATCACCCACATCTCCAGAGCTCTGTGGTGCTGCTCAGTCCACACAGAGCTGTAAATTAAGGCCACTTTGGGTCTCTAATATAGAAAGTTGTGTAGTGCCAGGAGGAGTGAAATGAGAGGAGTGTGTATGTCCTGTGAGAAAGGGGGAGAAGGAGGGCAAAATCTGCCTTCCCACACTGGCTTTTAAACTGATTTCCTACACGTGTGGAATTCGGGGATCTTTCTGTCCTGCTCCTTTCTTGCTTTTTAACTTGCTGGCTTGGTTCAGCCAAAAGTGAGAGAGGGAAACTCCTGAGACCCCATGGGATTCTCCAGCTTGTGTGGACACAGCTAGAGGGTCACAGGGAGCGATGGTGCTGTGCCATCACCCTCTGTGAGACCCAGAGGATCCTCACCAGCACAGGGAGCTGCTCCAGAGGGAAGAGGAGGACAATGCTGGGCAGTTTCTGCTGTGGATTGGCTGGCACTGGCTTTGGCTGTTTTATGGTGATGCTGTAAATACGTGGGTGTATCTCACATCCCGAGGCTGCAGCCAGACCCTTTCCCCACCTACCCCCCTTTCACCAACCCCTCCTGCCTTCCTGAGTGCCAGCATCTCCATGCCCACCCCCAAACGGCTGCAGCACCCTGCCTGTCCCCTCAATCCAGGGGTGCATCCAGATGTTCCTCCAGCACCCGCCATCTCTGGGGGATCGGGATGCAGATGGGGCTGCACCATCCCCATCCTGGAGGGAGGCTCTGCATCACCCAGCCCTTGCAAGCCCACCTGTGGCTGGCTGGATCCCCCAGGGACCTGCATCCCCCTGAGCCCCCCTCCAGGGCCCTGCATCCCCCCGAACTCGCCATGCCAGATGCAGTTCCATTGAAAAGTGCCGTTCATTGTAACCTGGCCTTTTATAGCTGCCTCGGAGCGGCTGCGGGGCCGTGCCAAGAAAGGCTGCAGCCGGCTCAGAATAGCTCTTTTCATGGAGGACATCCTGGGAAGGAACAATGTTCCCGCTCTTGGGATTGTGGGAACTTTGTATTTCTGCCACTCAGGAAGTGGGGAGCTGCGGGCGTCTCCCAGCCCCTCGCTTCTCCCTCTCCCGAAAATAGTCCTTGGGATGAGTTTTGAGTATTCCTGTGCTTATAAAGGGAGATGCAAATGCCTCCGGACGCTTCTCCTCCAGTTGGGAACAGTTATTTCTGGGAGAGCCGGCACATCAATCACATTTCCTATTCACGTCACTGGCGTGCGTTTTCCTGCCGTGGAACTGGCAGCGAGTGGGGCCGGTTTCATTTTCGGGTGGTGGTGCTGCACATGCACAGCAGGGCTGGGCACAGGGCACAGCCACGTGGGCTCTGCTCCCTCACACTTCCCCTCGAGGCTGGCTTTGTGGTGCTGGGTGCTGGAGGGTGACCTCCACACCCCTGGATGGTGGGAAGGTGGCGAGCTGGATCCGGCAGCTCCTCCGTGGCGAGGCCAGCTGGCTCTGAATGCTCATCCCCTGGGAGTGGGTGGCAGGATTGGGCGCTGGCTCCCAGCACTGCCCTGGCACTGCTTGGTGCTGCCAGCTCCTCTGGCTGCAATTAAACAACAAATGCATTTACTGGGACAAATAACCCATTGCTGGATCCAGGCGCGGATTCCCGTCCCGGTCGGTGCTGGCACCGCCACTGCAGCAGTGCTCAGGTTGGGCAAGAGTTTAAGGGAAGCTGCTGGGGGTGGCTGGGCTGCAGGGCTGGATCCTGCACAAGCCCCAGCTCGCTGTCTCAGCCCGCATCAAAGCCACCGCGCCCGGTCCGTCCCGTCCTGCTCTTCCTCGAGTTCCTGGCCCAGCACCCCAAAACAATCCCAGCACCCCAAAACAACCTCAGCACCCACAAACAGCCCCGAGGTGGGGCGGGCTTGGTGACGTGCAGGTCTTCCAGCAGCCGGCAGGGATGGAAGCCCCCCAGTCCCAGCTAGTCCGTGGTGCATCCAAGGATGGGCTGGATTCTCCACTCAGAGCAAATTGAAGCCATCAGAAGTCCTTCTTCTGACCTGCAGGATGGCCAGGAGCTCCTCGTGGGAACATATGAGGAATAAAATGTCAATTCTGCCTCAAAGCCACTGGCTGCTGGATTCCAGCTTTGTGGAACACAGCGGGCTGGAGCAGCGGGAAGCTCACCCAGCAGCGGGAACTCGCATCCCTGTGGATGTTGCTGCTGAAACCTGGGGCTGAGCAGAGGAGCAGGAGGCTGCTGTGGCAACTCCAGCAGGGATTCACCCGGGATAGCTCTTTCCACGTGGGAAGTGCACCAGGCAGAAGCAGCGAGGTCGGCATGGTGCCAGTGCTGGGAGGAGGAAGCGCTGGGGAGTATTTCCCATCCTCGGGCTGGAAAAGCACGTTGCTACTGGAGACGGCCTTCGGCTGCTTCCCACCGCGTGGCACGGACGAAGCCCGGCTTTTCCCGCGCCACAAACCTCTCCTGAAGCTGGCACGAAGCGAGCCTGGAAGGTGAATTCCCTACCCTGGGAATCTCCCACCTGCCCGAGCAGCCGTCCGCATGAGCGCCTCGCTTCCCTCCGCGCTTTGCGGGAGCATCCCTCCGAGCGTGCCGGCGGCGTGGGCGGCGCGGCGGCGATTCCCGGGTGCCGGGAGGAAGCGGGAGCGCTGCGGAGGATGCTGAGTCACCGGCAGGCTGGCGGCGCTGATAGACGGGGCCCTGCCGGGGGTTCGGCCGGGCTGCGGCGGGCGCATGCCCCGCGCTGCCGCGGCGCCGGACGGCCCCGAGCTTTGGGCGGCTCTTCTGAGAAGGCGAGGCTGGCGGGGGGCAGATAACATCTCCCCTCGCCTGCAACCTTGGCGGGACGTGCTCGGCAGGGCAGCGGGTGGGCAGAGATAGAGCCCCGCTTCCCGGCGTTATCGCCGCCCCGGCTCCAAACACGATGCCCCGTGCCCGCACGTTCCTCATCGCCCTCTCGCTTCCTCCTGGCCCCTCAGGGTTTTTGTTTTGTGGGTTTTTTTGTAAATTTTCCTCCCCCTGACACATACAATCCGCTTTTCCTCGCCTCCCAGCAGCCGGGGTGCTGCTGCTGGAATTTCGGGGAGGCGGCAGCGCCTGTGCCGGCGCGGCAGGATCCGGGTGGGTTGGCCGATGTTTCCTTCCTGAGCGGAGTGCACGGCCCCGATAAGTGCCCCGGGCGAGCACGAGGTTCGCTGGCGAGCAGCGGGGCCGGCCCTGGGGAGCACCACTGCCGGCTCAGCCGGGCACGCCGTGCCAGCCACGGTGCTGCCAGATTGGCCTGGCAGTGAAATCTGCCGGGGGCACAGATACGGCGTGGTTTGCCAGAGCCCGGCAGCTCCTCGGTGCCGTAGGCAGCACAGCATCCCCTCAGGAACGCGCTCACCCCGGGCAGTCCCAGCACCCCGGCAGCCTCTTCTCAGGCCGCTGGGGCCGGGAGGGTCTGGCAGCGAGGCAGCTCCATCCCTGCATTTCTGCAGCTTTTCATGTTGCTTCCTCCCTTCCCGCCCCCGTTCCAGTTTTATCAACTCCGCTGAAATCGGTCCCTGGAGGGAAACCCATCGGCGCTGCGGAGCCTTGGCAGGAGGCGAGCGGATGTGGCCGGGCCAGGCGTCCCCGCGGGCAGCTGCAGGCAGCTGTGCTGGCAGGAAGCCGCGCAGACGCCCCGCGCCGGGACCTGCCCGCTCCCCACCGCGCAGGTGGGGAAACTGAGGCACGGCCCAGCCAGGTGGGGATGGGCGTGTAAAGGAGCTGCGGCGGGGCTGGGGGCTCGGGGTCCCTCATGACCGCTGCTGGTTGATCACATGGCCGTGCTGCTCGCTGGGAAGCAGCTGCCCCCTGGCCATTTCCAGTGTATCCACGGGAATGAGGCAGCTTAGAGTGGGACCCGTCGACCACAGCGTTCCCCAGGCCTTGAGGATGCACATTCCAAGTGGGATATGGCCACTCCAGCTAGGAGTTGGCGGGGTGGGGGACACATGGGGACCCTGGGGCTGCCCTGACCACCCGTGTGCTCTGTCTTGCAGCGCGGCCGCCTCGCTGGAGCCTCGGCAATGAATGGGCACTCGCTGCCGGCCGGCACGCCAGCGCATCCCCGGGGCTGGCATGAGTTCTGCGAGCTGCACGCCATCAGCACCGCCAAGGAGCTGGCGCGGCACTACCTGCGCTTCGCCACCGAGCACCCGCACCATGACCTCCTGGCCGCCGAGAACTTCTCGGTGCAGTTCACCGACCTCTTCCAGCAGTACTTCTGCCACGAGGTGAAGGAGGGCATCGCCATGAGCCAGCTCCGCATCCTGCCCGCTGGCCCGGCGCGGGATTACCGGGACACGCACCGGCGGCACACCGATGCTTCCCTGGGCACGGTGGCCACCAAAGCCGAGGCGGAGCCCGGTGCCCGCCCCGAGCAGCCCGCCCGAGCCGCCGAGGCTGCTCCCTCTGGACTCCGCAAGTCCTGGAGCTCGGAGGAGCTGGCGGGGCCGGCGCGGAGGCCCTTCTCGCTCAGCCAGCTGCGCAGGAGCTGGCGCAGCCTCTTCCGACGCCGCTCCTCGGACGCGCTCCCCGGGGACGCCGATGGCGAGGCGGCCGAGGCGGCTCTCAAGCCGGGACTGGGGAAGCGCATCCTGCCCTGGGGGCTGTCGCGGGAGCAGCCCCCCGAGGTGCGCAAGGAGGGGCTGCTCAAGTACGGGCTGCTGGATGAGAATTCCCTGGACAGCGGGACGCGCTGGCAGCGCTGCCGCCTGGTGCTGCGGAGAGCGGGGCCGCCCGACGCCGAGGAATTCCTGCTGGAGCTCTTCGACCCGCCCAAGGTAAGGAACTGCCTCCTCTTGCCTGTTCCAGCCAGTGATGCTGCGGGTCCCTCATTTAGGGATGATGCCCAGATGCCAGAGCATCCCCCAGGGAGGAGCAGGGCCACGGTGCAGCCAGCACCACGAGGGTTCCTCACCACGAGGGTTCCTCACCACGAGGGTTTCTCACCACGAGGGGCCCGGGTGGGTTTGCTCTGCCACTGCTCTCCCCCTGCTGCAGCCACACGAGGCTGGACCTTGTTGTTTAATACCTCTGAGAAGGAGAAAAAGCCACCCCTGTGGGTCTTGTCTGGGGAGTGAGAGATGCTGAGACCAAGGTGTGCTAGTTGCTGCAGTCGGTCAATGTGTCATTGCATTTCTCCCTGCTGGGACTCCAGGGCTGGGTTTTCCAGCTGGGAGCACAGTGCCTGCCTTCTGAGCTGAGGATAGAGACTGGTGGCCTCCATCCCACTCATCCCAGCCTCATTCCACCAAGGTGTGGGGCAACCCAGTCTGATGAACCCCAAACTCACCCTGTGCTCTGGCTTTAGCAACCTGAGCATCTGCTCACCTGGGCAAGCTGGGAGAGGAAAGGGAAAATAGGAGTTGGGCTCTGTGCCTTTCTCTGCTCCCAGTGGGACCCACAGTTTTAGTTTTTGTAAGGAGTTTTGTGACTGGAAGTTCAGCTCTCAGCTGCTGCAGGGAGCCCCCGTGGTGCTGGGACGTGGCTGGAGTGGAGATGATGCAGGATGTGAGGGAGTGGGGAGTGATGTGGGGGGAGTTGGGGTGTTCAATCTGTAAAAAGACAGTTCCTCCACATGGCAGGACTTGCACAGGCGTGATGGGATGAATTTTCTTTTTTTTTTCTTTTTTCTTTTCTTTTTTTTTTTTTTTTTTTTTTGTTCTTGTTTAACTTTGATGACAAACTTGTGCTTTGGAAGGAGAAAACCTCCGGTAGAGCTGGAGCCTTGTCCCTGCCTTCAGGGCAGCAGGGTCAGGGAGCAGCTGGCTGAATTCCTGCTATTTCCGTCAAACGACTCCAATATTAAATATTTGAAAAAAGAAACAACATCAAAATTGTAACATCTGAAAGTAAAAGCTGGTTTTGCTCCGTCATGTCAAGGGTTGCAGTTGTTTGTCCCCGTGGGAGTGTGTGTCCCCATCCCGGGGCACAGGGAGGTCAGAGGCACTCTGGGGCACTTGGAGGGTGCTCCAGCAGCTGGAAAGCACTGCCTTTTTTCCTCCCTCACCCCTTTTCTCCCTTTTCCTTTTTTTTTAATCTTTTATTATTTTTTTTAATCCCCCCTTTTATTTCCCCCCCTTTTTTTTCCTTCCTCCTTTTTCTTTTTTCACTTCCCCTTTTCTTTTTTCCCCCCCCCCCCTTTTATTTTTACTACCCCCATCTTTTTGTCCCTATCCCCCCCTTTTTTTTTCCTTTTCTCCCTTTTTCTTTCTTTGTTTCCCTCCCCTTTGGGAAGCAAGCCCAGCACATTCTTCCTCTCCCCACATCCCTGCCCAGCTTTGACCCAGGGGTGGGAGACACTTCAAACAAGACACTGACCACGTTCCCCCCGTGCTCTGAGCATTTTTCCTTGCAGTCTCCATGGGATGGAGATTTCCTGGTGCTCCACATCCCCACGAGGCTGGAGACCCCAGAGCCCCGAGCAGAGGGGTTCTCAGCCAGGCCTGCGGAAGTGGGGGGATGTTCCTTGCTGGATTTTGCAAGTCTCTGGATTAAATTGCTTCCTGTGCAAATATTCTCAGGGCGGCTCCTTCCTTTCCAATTCCCTGGGCCAGGGCCAGCTCCTGTCTCCTTTACAGCACAATCAATCCTGACCCTTTCCCAGTAACTGTGGTTGAATTCCGGGGGTGGTGGAAAATCCCCCACGGTGCTGGTGGCTCCCACTCCCCAAACCCAGCATGGGGCAAACCACAGAGCAGCGAGAACAGAACAGTTTGTTGGGGGGTTATTTTCCTTAAAAATAACTAAATAACACTCAACAACCCCCTGGGAATGGCTGTGAGGAGCCCCCTCCTTTCCATCCTCCTGCTCCCAGGGCTTTGCCACTGCTTTTCCCCCATCTCATGGGTCTGTTCCTGATTTGAGGATGCTGTTGATCACCATAGAAAATTGATGGTTTTAAATAAACAACTGTAAAATCAGTTATTGGGATTTTTCATCTCCAACTGATCTGTGGATTGGGAGGTTGGTTGCCCTCAGGGTCTGCCTGGAAACACCCTTCCTCCTCTTCCTTCCCCCTTCCTCCTCTTCCTTCCCCCTTCCTCCTCTTCCTTCCCCCTGCCTTCTCTTCCTTCCCCCTTCCCACCCTGTAAATAATAGGATGCAATTGAAATTTCATCTCAGCCAAGCCCCCAGACATCCCTCCCCTTGGAGTGACCTTGGAAAAGGCAGGTGTGTGGGGAAAGGAGGGGGGTCCTGCTGCTTTTGGCAGCTTTTATTTCATTCCCCCCCTTCCTCCTGGTGCTCCAATGAGGCCTCTGAGCTTAATCCCATAACGTGCCTGGCATCAAAGGGAGTGGGGGCTTTGAAGAGCCCTGATCCCATTTGCTGCTTGGGTGGCTGTGCTGGGTGAAGGGTCAGGGAGCTGTGCTGGAGGATGTGGCAATACCAATGGCACTGCCTGGAGAGGGCATCCCCTGCCCCAGGCCTGTGCCAGAGCAGAGATGAGGATTTTGGGACAGGGAGCAGCTCCCATGCTCTCAGCCACAGCTGGCTTGGCTTTGGCATCGCTCCCTCCTCCCTCGAGCACTGGAAAAATGATGGAGGGATTTGGGGATGATGGGATCTGTCCTGGGAGAGGGTCACTGCCTGGCTGCAGGGCACAGGACTGGGGGGCAGTCCCACCCTGGGGACATTCCCGAGGGCAGAGTGAGGTGATGATGCTGTGTGGAGGAGGAGCTGGAATAGAGGGATATTGGAATGCCTGTAGTGCTTGTATATATGGCTCTGTCTATCTAAGAATATATATATATGTATATATGGCTATATATATAAAATATATATAATATATACGTATATATGGCTATATATATAAAATATATATAATATATATGTATATATATGTGGCTATATAAAAATATAATATATATGTATATATGGCTATATATAAAATATATATTATATATGTATATATGGCTGTATATAAAATATATTTATATATATATATATATGGTTATATATGAAATATATATAATATATTCTTTATATATTTTTTATTAATTTTTTATTTATATGTATATGTGGCACAGGAAAACCTGGGCATGGTCCTGGAGTTGCCCCCAGGTGGATTCTCTCACGTCTGTTATGAGGGCAATGCTCACCCGTGCTCCCTGATTTCCTTAGAGGCATTAAGTGTTTTCTCCTCTCCCACACCATTTAATCCCATCCAACCTTTAGGACTGGGTACCTCTGAGGTCTCTCCACCTTCATAAATTTCAACCACTTGAAACCATTTGGGGCTGCCCCTTTCCTCAGCTGAGCCCCAGCCCCAAATTCCTCTTCTATGGCCGAATCCCAAACTCCATGAAAGCCGTGATTCGCAGCGGAAATGTCCCGAGCCGTTTCTGTTGACCAGATGTTTTTACAGGAAGGGGAAGGGAAATGGGATTTGCATTTGTGCTGCTTTCTTTATAGCATTTTAATGAAATCCAGGGCGTCCCACAAATTGATGGCACGCCGGGACTGGCCGGGAAGGCTCCTTCCGGAGAAAGCCTTGGAGCCCCTGCCACAGCTCCAACATCTCTGCTGGAGCCACGGGAGGAGCAGCATTTTTATCTCTGCTCAGTGTGAGGCTGCTTTGACTTCCTTTTTTTTCTTTTTTCTTTTTTTTTTTTTAATTTTTTTTCTTTTTTTACACCTTTCACCTGAATCTGGTTTCTGAGAACTGCCACCTCCTGAGCCAGCAGGTTCCTGTCCCCGATTTTTGGTGCTTGGGGCTGTGAGTGGCAGCTGGTCAGGCATGGGATGGGGCACATCCCAGTGTTTTGGTCTCCATTCCCTATCCCTGCTCCTCCTGGGGCTGCTCAAAGGTGGCCTGAGTGACTCAGCCAAGGAATTGCAGTGGTGGAGGGGGAATTTTCCTCTCTGGGACACCTTGAGAAGAGTTTTCCCAGTGATGGGAAGAACCTCAGTGTTCCATCATCCCATCCCTGGTCCAGAAAAGGACAGGTTTGTGTCAGTCTGGATCCCCAAGGGACCACATCCCTCTCCTGCCATCCTTTTCCTGGCATTCCCAGGACTTCATCCCACTCTTGGTATCCTTCTCCTGGCATCTCCGTGGGCTGCCTCCCATTCGTGGCATCCTTCTCCTGGCATTCCCAGGAACTTCATCCCTCTGTTGGCATCTCCATGGACTGCATCCTGTCCTGATGCAGCTGAAGTTGTCCCTGCTCCCTGCAGGGTGTTGGCCTCGTTGACTTCTCAAGATCCTTTCCAACCCAAACTATTCTGCTCTTCTATGATCCCTCTCCAAACATCCTGCTCCCAGCATCCCTCTCCTGGCATTCCCAGGGACTGCATCCCTTTTTTGGCATTTCCAGGGGCTGCATCCTGATCTGGTTGGTGTCCCTGCTTATTGCAGAGGGGTTGGACTGGGTGGCCTTTGAAGGTCCCCTCCAACCCGTGTCATTCTGTGCTTCTGTGATCCTGCTCCCAGCACCCTCAAGGATCGCATCCCTCTCCTGGCAACCCCAAAGACCACACAGCCAGGAGCTGGGAAAACTGCTGCCATGACCCTGGAGGGGTTTGGGTGTCCTTCAGATCCCTTGGGAGAGGCAAAACCTCCCCTGAAGGCACCTGGAGCTGCCCCAAAACCCTCGGGCAGCCTCTCCCCGGGGCAGGGCGGGCGCGTCCCTCGCTGCTCTCTCTGTTCTTCGAAGGCTTTGTGAGATTTTGGTGGTGACTTTTGCTCTCTTCCCCCTCCCCCCCCCGGCTCTGTTTTTGGGTATCGAGGGGGGTGGGAGGGAGGGCGAGGAGACAAAGGTTATTTGTCATTTATTAA